AGTAAAAGATCTAGATACAAAAACTAATGTCTCTAAACTAATTAATTTTAGAATTATGATGTGCTTTGTTTTTTTATTATTTCACTACTGATAAAAAATTCAAATGCTGATGATGTTCTCTTAATAAAATAAAATATCATTCATAAAAAAAAAAAAAAATGGAAAGCAAAATATGTGATATGGAATCTAGATAAGGTTAGTGCTGCAACGCATGCCACTGCGTCAGCAACAATTATTGTGGAGCAGGACCTGAAGTCCCAAATTGCTTTGCATTTTGATGGACTATTATAAGTAAAAGGCGCACCCTTGACGTAAGGGCTTACATTACAACGTTCATTATAACATTCATTACCTGTATTTTATTCCGGAGTCCCTGCTACCTGCTTGATGATGGAACAGTTATTATTATTAAAGGCGGCTTGTCTCCCATAAGTATTTAAATATAATTTAAATAATATAATATTTTTATTTTTTTAATATATAGATCACTTTCTTATTTTTGTTTTATTGTTTGTACTTTATTTATTTTAAATTATATTTATTTTTTAATTTTAATTTTATATTAAAAATTGTTAAATAATTTTTATTTTATTTATTTTACTTTTATTATTATTATTATGAGATAAAAAGATAATATTTTTAAATTAATTAGTGTGTATTTTAAGATAAATTTTTTTAATTTAAGTAAAGACATATCCCTTATATAAAACTAACCAAATTGATTTTGGCCAAATGACAATTAATACCATAAAACTTTGAGGTCGTGAGTATCATTCACATATATGACGGACTCTTTTTCAATTTTTTTTTTTAATTTTATATTGAGAATAAATATTGAGATTAAGTTAATATATTTATAAAATAAAAATAATATAATTATAATATTATATAATATTATATATTTTTATTTAATTAATTTTTTATTTAAAAATTTATTTATAATATTATATATATTCCTTTACTTTATAATATGTTTAGTTTCTTTGCGATAAATATGGTAATATATATTTAGATTTCGGTCGAAAAGGAAATGAAGAAAATTTTATCCAATATAATAATATAAATCTGGGACGACAAGTCAAATCAAAATTAATATTCTACATTTCTATGAAAAAAAATTAGTGATAATGTCTTATATGTCTTTTAGCTTTTATCCTTTGTAAATAGTATATATAAAGGCATGTGCGTTCTACTGGAGGACCACAGATTCAATAAGATGGAAGATCATATCATCCTTTATTCTTCTCTCCTTGCTCTCATCCTCATCCTTGCCTTCAATTTCTTATTTCTCTCCAGAAAACGGTACAAGAATCTTCCTCCAAGCCCACCATCTCTCCCCATAATTGGCCACATCCATCTCTTAAAACAGCCCACTCACCGTTCACTCCGTAGCCTTGCCGATAAGTACGGTCCAATCATCTCCCTCCGGTTTGGCTACTGCCCTGTTGTTGTCATATCATCAGCATCAGCCGCCGAAGAATGCTTCACCAAGAACGATATTGTTTTGGCCAATCGGCCAAAATCACTTCCCGGAAAGCATGTAGCTTACAACCACACCACGTTGATCGCCGCTTCATATGGAGATCACTGGCGCAACCTCCGTCGTATCACTTCCATTGAAATATTCTCCTCCAGCCGCCTCAACAAGTTTCTTGGGATACGAAGAGATGAAGTGAGGCGATTGTTGGTGAAATTATCTCTTAATTCACGACAAGACTTTGCGAAAGTGGAGTTGAAGTCAATGATTGTTGATTTAACGTTTAACAATATCATGAGAATGGTTGCAGGAAAACGATATTATGGGGAGAATGTGGCTGAAAATGAGGAGGCAACACGATTCAAGAAGCTGATAGCGGAGATGATCCAAATTGGTGGAATAGGGGATGGCGGACGCAATTTCTTCCCATTGTTGAATTGGATTGGCAACTATGAAAAGAAAGTTATAAACATTGCCAAAAGAATGGATGCGTTCTTGCAAGGGTTGGTAGACGAGCACCGCAGCACGGAGATGGGAAACACAATGATCGATCATCTCCTTTCGTTGCAGGAATCACAGCCTGAATATTACACCGATCAAATCATAAAAGGGATTGTTATGACCATGATACTTGCTGGAACGGATACATCGGCCGTCACATTAGAATGGGCAATGTCTGAGTTACTCAACCACCCCGATGTATTGAAGAAGGCTAGAGAAGAGATAGACGCTCAAGTGGGTGAAGAAAGGCTGATGGACGAACCCGATGTCTCGAAGCTCCATTATCTACAAAGCATCATGTGGGAGACACTCCGTGTGCACCCATCAGCCCCTCTTCTTGTCCCTCATATGGCATCTGCAGACTGCACCATAGGTGGGTACGATGTACCGCAAGACACTACGGTATTGGTAAATGCGTTTGCCATTCACAGGGACCCGAATTTCTGGGACGAACCAGAAAGTTTTAAACCAGAGAGGTTGGAGAAGGAAGAGAACAAGGAGGGCCATAAGTTGCTACCATTCGGCTTGGGAAGGAGGGCTTGTCCTGGAGCAGGGTTAGCCCAAAGGACTGTGACCCTGACCCTGGGATCAATGATTCAGTGCTTTGAGTGGAAGAGGATAAGTGAGGAAGAAGTTGACATGACTGAAGGCATAGGGATCACCATGCCCAAAGCCCAACCTTTGGAGGCCATGTGTAAAGCCCGACCCATTGTTAGCAAGGTACTTTATGGTGTGGAATAGAAAGGATTTTTTCTTTATAATTTCACGGCAAGTCATGTCTCTTCATCGTTATCGCATTCTCTCTCTCTTTTTTTGTTTTTGGTGAATGTGTGTTCTGTATTAATTTAATAGGTAAAATCTACTTGTTATTTTATGTTGTAAGAATGACTAGCTTTCAAATTATGGTATAAGTACAATAAAAGAAGGCTAAAATGTTATTTTGGTACCTTAATTTTTTAATTTTAATATTAATATTATTTTTAAATTTTAAAAAATATCAAAATTATTTATGAATTTTCATTTTCGATATCAAAATACATCCTTTTGTCAGGTAAACGATGATATGGCAAACTTTCTGTCAAAAAATTCATTTTCCTTAATTTTAAATATTATGCAAAAATGAGAAGAAAACTTAAAAGGTTACATGGCAATTTTTCTCTTCACATGATACTCTAATTACATTAAAACTAAAGATATGGTTTGCCATTAAAAGATTAATTAAAATTAAGTTTCAACTCAAACAAGAAATTC